GAAGATACAAAGACATTTCTGCCCAGGTACTCATTTCGTAAATATTTACTGAGCCCTTGCTGTGCCAAACACTTTGCTAGGGGTTCACAGGTGTTCAGAGTAGAATCTTTTCCCTCAAAACCTTACATGTGTTTGGCCTAGGTGGGGCAGGGGTGAGAGCTGTCAAGAAAACAAATATAATGTAATGTGATTTGAGCTATGATAGAACCAAACAGTGCGTTGTGAGAACGTCCAATGCAGACTGATTTGTTTGGCTTGTTTTGGAAAACAAGAAAGGGCTTGCTGGTCAGCTTCAGATTTATTCCTTCATTTAAGAAACATCTACTGAGTGCCTACATTGTGATTAACACAACCTGATCCTGGAAATACAAATATGAATAAATATAGGCTCTGTCTTAGAAAATTTCAGAATCTAATTGGGGAAGTAGAAAAATGAAAAAAAATTTACATATGCCAATGTCTTATGTGCAACTTACTATAATTCTATGTTTCCAGGAAAATACAGAAGCCATGGAGAAGCTTTAGCGCTAAAGGATCCAATAACTAAATTTTCATTGAGATGGCTCTTTGGAAAATGACTTTTGCAGGGTTGAAGAAACTAAACCTTAAAAATTTCATCTATAAACACTACATATCTCAAGTTCATTGAGAGGCTAGAATAGGCTGATGTATGTAAAACAGTAATGGGCTTGTTATTAATATGAAACATAGTGTTATTAATATTATTATTTAGATATAGCATTTTATTCAAGTAATCCGGTCATTAATTCAACACAATTTAGAACACATAATTTGGACAGAATTCAATTTTCGTATATAATACACTAAGGAAGTAATCAATTCTTTTTTAAGTTCAGAATCAAATAAAGTATGAACTTTCCCTCATAAATTTATTCAGATAATAAAACCATCAAATGCCACAATCACTATTAGTCAGACTGACCTCAGATTATTAAAAGTTTGTATTAAAAGTTTATGAGGGAAAGTCCATATTGTATTTGATTCTGAACTTAAAAAAGAATCAATTACTTCCTTAGTGTATTTTATACGAAAGTTGAATTCTATCCACAGTATGTGTTCTAAATTGTGTTGAATTAATGACTGGATTACTTGAATAAAATGCTATATTATTAAAAGTTTGTAAAATACCCTAGATCAAAGTTGATAGAAGAACTACTTTATTTCTTGATGAATATTAGTCTAATGAAAAGTGAACTGCTCTGCCCCGAAGAGACTGTGGTTTCATTTTAATGGTAATTAATAATTAGAGCTTTAGAAAATTATGAAACCTTTATTATTTCAGAATCATCATGATTGTTGTTTTTTGTCTCAAACTTTTAAAGCATTCTAAGGGGCAGATACAGTCCTGATATCGTGGTGGTTGTTTTTAAAGATGGTCCTAATGATTAGTCTTTGAAGACTAGGTAGAACTGAATTCAATTCCCCACTCTGAAGCCATAGCCATTTTTTCTTAACACATTACTGATGTGACATAAATGCTCTAACAGCCCTTGGGTTGTTTGTTGAGCTATCCAAATGCCTGAAGTTTCAATTTAAAAAATAATTATGGATACTTATAGACCTCATATATCAAAATGGTGTTAGAAAAAATATAATTTTAAGTAATCAATACATTCTGTTCCTCAGTCTGTTTATGTGGATGTTACTTCTAGGAACTTCATTTTTGCTTATATTTATATCACCATTTCTTTACCAGAATTGGTAAAAACTGATGACTCTTTTAAAACTTTGTTTGTTGGGTTTTTGTACAGCCCTGGAAGGAACTGAGGAAACTCAGTTATTGAATTCATCTAAAAAGCTTATCTAAGGCTATCTTATCTCACTTACTTATGTCTGCAAGTAAAATAACATACTCATAATTTCTGTTTTTCTTTAATTTCCAGACTTAAACTTGTGTAACTTCTCCCTAGAGATGAAAAATGTGTTGTAACATACTATCACTAATAAAGCTTATGATTGTAAAGAAATAGAATACTTTCAAATTAAAAAGATAGAGCAGGAAGAACTCCATAGCCTCACTTTTTCTAAAGTAGAAAAGGTTCTTATTTTATGAACTCATATAACTCCATATATTGATAGATATTTGTCCACTATCAATCATCATGAATACACAAAGTGCACATTACTTTCTCATATTTTATTTTTATCACTGTTTTCTCTTTAGTAATATTTTTGTTAGTTTAAATTTATTGAGCTTTTAGAAGTTCAACTCTAATATCAATATATGTTTCTCTCAGAAATTATGACTGTTAACAAAATTATAATATTTACTAGAAGGTATAATTTGATACAATATGTTTCAGCAGTATAACAGAATTATATTAGAATTTGGCAAGTTTCCCCGAACTGAATATATTTAAACAGGAGTTGGTTTAATTGAGTGAAGGAAGTGAAAGATTTTTACAATAAAAACTACAAATATTGATAAAAATAACTTTAAAAAGACATAAGTAAATGAAAGGAAATACTATGTTCATGGATTGGAAAATTTAATATTGTTATGATGGCAATACTCTTCAAAGTGATCTACAGATTCGGTATACTCCATATCAAAATCCCAATGGTATTTTTTTGAAGAAATGGAAAAACTTATCTTAAAATTCCTATGGAATTGCAAGGAGCCCTGAATAGCCAAAGCATGATGAAAAATAATAATAGTTAGATGACACACAACTCGCTGTTGTTTCAAAAGTTTTACAAATATACAATAATCAAAATGGTATGATACTGCTGTAAAGATACACATACAGAAGAATGGAATAAAATTGAAAGTACAGAAATAAACTCAGACACCTATGGTCAATTGATTTTCAGCAAGAATGCTGAGACCATCCAATGGGGAGAGAACAAATGGATATCTTATCTCAAATCACATATAAAAACTAACTCAAAAAGGATCAGCAACCTAAATATAAAAGCCCAAAGTATAAAACTCTGAGAATAAATCAAAGGCAAATTATTGTGACCTTGTCTTTGGCAATAGTTCCTTAAATATGACATCAAGAACCAAAGTAACAGGAACAAAAGTTGGTAAGCTGCACGCCACCAATTTTTTTAAAAACCTGTCTGTTAAAGAACACTATCACGAGATTGAAAAGAAAACTCGCAAAATGAGATAAAATATTTGCAAATCTTGTAACTGATAAGGTCTAGTATTTAGAATTTAAAAATAAATATTACAATTCAATAACAAAAAGACTTTTAATTATCAATTAAAAATGGGAAAAAGACTTGAACAGAGATTTGTCGAAGGAAGACATACAAATAGCCAACAATCACATAGAAAGATGCTCAATATCATTAGTCTCTAGGGAAATGGGAATCAAAACCACAATGAGCAACTTCATGGCACCTACTACGATGGCCAACATAAAAAATAATTTAAAAAATCAGGCATTGGCAAGTGTGATGGTTTGAGTGTGTTCCCCAGAATTAAGTGTTGGACTTTCTGCCCAGTGTGGTAGTGTTGGAGAAGTGGTGCCTTTAAGAGGTGATTAGGTCATTTAAAGGAATTAATGCTGCTCTTGTGGAACTGGGTTATTTCTTGCAGAAGTGATTGACTTCTCATTATGTTGGGACTGGATTAGTTACTGCAAGACTGAGTTGTTATAAAGTGAGGCCACTTCTTCCTTATTGCCTTTTTTGCACATGCCTGCTTTCCCCTAAGTTTTTCTGCCATAATACTACCCTCATCAGATGCAGCCACCTGATCTTGGACTCTCCAGCTCTAGAACGATGAGGTAAATAATTATCTTTCCTTTGTGAATTACTCAGTCGAGATTTCTGTTATAGCAACAGAAAAGGGACTAAGACAACAAGGATGAAGATAAATTGGAAGGCTTATGGATTGCTTTTTGGACTGTAACGTGATGCAGCACTGTGTAGCACAGTTTGTTGGCTTGTCAATGAGCTAAACAGAGTTACTATATGACCAAGCAATTCCACTCCTTGTCATATGCCCTCTAAAATTGAAACCCCTGTATTCAAACAAAAATGTGTACATGAATGTTCAGAACAGGTCTATTCATAATACCCTGAAGAAATAGCCTGAATGTTCATCAACAGATGAACAAGCAAACATAATCTGGTATATTCATACAATAGAATAGTTTTCAGCTATAAACAGGATTGAAAAACTAATATATGCTACAACATGGATGAGCTTTGAAAATATTTTGCCAAGTAAAATAGATACAAAAGGACCAAAATTAGATGACTCCACTTATTTAGGATCAACAAATTTATAAAGATAAAAAGTGGATTAGTGGTTGCCTCAGAAATGGGAGGAAGAAGGAATTAGGACTGACTATTTAATTTGCAGGCATTCCATTTGGGGTGATAAAAACATTTTGAAACTAGATAGCTATATGGTTTCACAATTTAGTAAATGTATAAAATTCCAATAAATGGTATTCTTTAGTACAGTTACAACGGTAAGTTTTATGTTGTGTGCATTTTGCCACAATAAATATACTTTGAGTAAAAAAAAAAAGAGAGAACCAAAAACATTTATTGAGCAATCTGCAATCATATAGGAGGATCCTGTTAACCTGATGAGATAGAATTGTGTAAAATTCAGTCCTTGTACTTTCAAGTATATATGCCGTATGTACTGTGTAAACAAAGCACCTAAACAACTGTTACACAATATTTTACAGCTGACTATAGGTGATGATTAAAATGCCACGGAAACACTGAGAAAAGAATATTTGATCCTCCCTGCATGGAGGGAGGGATTGACTTGGGAAAACAACAAAGAGTGTAACTTTGTTATAATAATGAATAATGCATGCTACTCCTTCTCTCAGAAAGTAGGGGAAGGATAGTCTAGGGAAGGGGAACAAAGAAGAAAACAACAACAAACATGTACACAGGTCCATACATGAAGCAAAAATGTATATTCAGTCGATTTAATAAAGTTGATTTTGTGATAAAAGCTAATAATTTTTAAATGTTAAATTATTTCATGTTCTTCACAGCTCAAATAAAGAAGCACAATTATCATTGCTTTTACTTTCTAAAAGTTGAAACTATGGATGAAAAGAGATTAGTATTTTTCTCCAAACCAGAAAGCTGGTAAGTGATGAAGCTGCAACTAACCAAGTCCAAAAAAATGTCAGAGTCTGTTCTTTTGCCAGTATTCTCATTGTGTTTCGAAGCAGTTAGAATTAAGAATTGCAACACAAGCAAGGACTGGATGAAGAAGGTCTTTCATAATATGCTGTTATTTGGATTTTATTTTCTAGGAAATGAAAGCAATTGCACAGTTTTATGCATGGGAGTAATTGCATGTGAAGTTAGAAGTATTATTCTGGCAACGATGTGGAGAAGATGAACTAATATATACTCAGAGGTTTTACAATGATCACCTTCCTGGGATGCCTTGGAGTTGTGAGAAGTAACAAAAGAGAAATGCAAATGAGGGAAAGGGAATTAACATCTGAACAGACATGTTGTCCTTGCACTTTATATTCAGCATGTTATTAATTCCAGTAATGATGCAGAGGGTTTAAGATTACATTTTCCATTTTATCACAAAGAACCAAAGGCTTAGAGATTTTAAATGACCTGTGTATGTCACATAGCTGGAACGTCATGAATTTGGGACCAAATCTATGTCCTTTCACAACCAAAGTTTATTTCACTATGGTCTCATAGTGAATGCCTGGGCTGCTTTAATAAAAAGAATATATTACTCACAGTTTCAGAATCTGACAAGTCCCAGATCAAGGCACTAGTGTCTGATGAGAGCCTGTTCCTTACAGATTGTCCCTTCTATGTGTCCCCACAAAGCACAAAGAAGAAAACAGACTCCTTGCCTTTTTCTTAAAGATACTAATTCCATTCACGAGGATAGAGACCTTATGAGCTACACACCTCCTAAAAAGCCCACCTTTTAATATCACCACAGTGGGAATTAGTTTCAAAACGAATTTCAGAACATTGAAACCATTGCAACTATGTCATGACATCTAAACAATTCTCTAATCTTAAGAAAGGTGCTAAACCTTGCAAAACTAGTGAGAAGGATGCAAAAACGCTGCATGTGTGTGTTTCACAAACTTTAACGCGTATTCCATTACAGAAATATCCTCCAGGTTGACAGCAATAAGAACTTTCTTCTAGTGCTCTCTTTTGACTTGATTTAGTCCAGTCGGCTTTATCGTTTTAATGTCACTGCTGCTGTAACTGTGAAGTGGCCGCTCTGTTTCCACACTTACCCATGCAAGCTTTCCCTGGTCTTTTTAGCTCAAGTGAAAACTCGTTCATTTCTTTTTCTACTAAACCACCAACCAAAATGTATTCTATTTATTAAAAAATTTTATCATCATAAGATAAAATGAATTTGAGTCATCAATGAATGTATACTTATTATTTCCATCCTTTAACCAGATGGAAAAAGGAAAATCAATGTTTACCATTCTCAAGTTAGTGACTAATACAGGTTGAAGACAGGCATACAATCAAAAACACCATATTCCAAAAGGGAAGTTAGCAAATGGAATATCTCATATATATATATATACACACACACACACACACACACACACACACACACACGTATTTAAATAACTATTCATTTACCATTTTAAGGGTAAGAATATTAAGTAGGAAATAATACATTTTGACTAGAAAAAGAAAAACATGATGAATACTTAAAACTCACAATGAAGCATCTCTACAGATTCCTGGGTTAACCTCCAGGTATCCTGACTTAGTAGGTTTAGGATCATACCTGGAGTTCTGCATCTTTAGTAAGCTCCTAAGTGTTTCTTGTTCACCAAATATGTTGAAAACCACTGACCTCCTTAGTATAATCACTTGAGAAACAGAACATTTGGAGTGATTCTTAATGAGATCTGTCTCTTCTTAGATTACTGCCATTCAGATCTCTAGTTCTGATTGTTTGAAAATGGTGCTAATATGCACTTAGGTATAAATATAATGTTCATGAAAATGAACCAGTACTTGAGGGTATTTGAAAAATATAATCTTGGGGCTTATAGAAAGATGGAAAGGTAAATAGGTTGCAGTATCACAAGTGAAATCAGCTGTAGATAATAGCTTTCTCCATCTGTGGATAATAGCACAAAATAGACTTAAAAAGAATCAAAGAAAATAGAGATGGAATACATATTCATTTCAAAATGTAGCTGGATGCTTTATTCAACATTAGCATTGGTTTTTTAATCTTTCAAAAGGTAAAAAAGAACCTGAGTGAAAAAATATTTTAGGCCGATTTAATATAAAATGCATTGAACTAGGATTTGGAAGATACAGGTTAGAATCTCAAATAAACAATACATTTGTCCTATTACTTGTAGTCCACAGATCCTCTTCATTGATCATGCATCTGCTGGGTTTATACGTAACATATTCTTCACCACCTCAAGCTTTCTAATATCCATGGATGGGTTTACATCCTCATGAGTCCTTTCCCTTCTTGGGTACTTTTGTAGAAGATACAATTTGAGGCTACTAAGGAATCATACTCTTGCAAAGGCCTCACTAATGGCTGCACAGAATAATTGATCTTAGTAGTAGGTTGTCATTAAAGAAGCTAATTCTGACACGGGAAAGAGATCTGAGGAGCTACTCAAGAGATAAAAGCAAAACTGGTAGAATTATAGAAACATTTTTCTGGGAAGTGTTTTGATATTGTTATATCCTGAATATCTTTTGGCTCAAGAACATTTTTCATAAATTATGTACTGTCTAAAAAGAAAACTATGATTGCTTAGGTTAAGGTAACATATGTACATTGATATCGCTTGTGAAATTGATTACACTATAAATACATTGGGTGAACTTAATTCTCTGTGAGGCCTACAAGTCATAATAGGTTGAGAAAAACACTGGAACCAATATATTCTTTTTTTAAAAAAATGTATTATACCTTAAGTTCTGGGATACATGGGCAGAACATGCAGGTTTGTTACACAGGTATACACGTGACATCGGAGTTTGCTGCAGTCATCAACCCATCATCTAGGTTTTAAACCCCACATGCGTTAGGTATTTGTCCCCACATTAAGTATTTGACCCCTACCCCCAACAGGCCCCTGTGTGTGATGTTCCCCTCCCTGTGTCCATGTGTTCTCATTGTTCAACTCCCACTTATGAGTGAGAACGTGAAGTGTTTGGTTTTCTGTTTCTGTGTTAGTTTGCTGAGAATGATGGTTTCCAGCTTCATCTGTATCCCTGCAAAAGACATGAACTCATTCTTTTTTATGGCTGCATAGTATTCCATGGTGTATATGTACCACATTTTCTTTATGCAGTCTATCATTGATGGGCATTTGGGTTGCTTCCAAGTATTTGCGATTGTGAATAGTGCTGCAGTAAATATACATGTGCATGTGTCTTTGTAGTAGAATGATTTATAATCATTTGGGCATATAGCCAGTAATGGGATTGCTGGGTCAAATGATATTTCTAGTTCTAGATCCTTGAGGAATCACCATACTGTCTTCCACAATGGTTGAACTAATTTTCACTCCCACCAACAGTGTAAAAGCATTCCTGTTTCTCCACATCCTCTCCAGCATCTGTTGTTTCTTGACTTTTTAATGATTGCCATTCTAACTGGTGTGAGATGTTATCTCATTGTGGTTGTGATTAGCATTTCTCTAATGACCAGTGATGATGAGCCTTTTTTCATATGTTTGTTGGCCACATAAATGTCTTCTTTTGAGAAGTATCTATTCATATCCTTTGCCAACTTTTTGATGGGGTTGTTTTTGTTTTTGTAAATTGTTTAACTTCCTTGTCAATTCTGGATACTAGACCTTTTCTATATGGATAGATTGCAAAAATTTTCTCCCATTCTGTAGGTTGCCTGTTCACTCTGATGATAGTTTCTTTTGCTGTTCAAACGTTCTTTAGTTTAATTAGGTCCCATTTGTCAATTCTGGCTTTTCTTGCAATTGCTTTTCATGTTTTAGTCATGAAGCCTTTACCCATCCTATGTCCTGAATGGTATTGCCTAAGTTTTCTTCTAGAGTTTTTATGGTTTTAGTATTAAAGTCTTTAATCTACCTTGAGTTAATTTTTGTATAAGGTGTGAGGAAGGGGTCCAGTTTCAGTTTTCTGCATATGGCTAGTCAGCTTTCCAGCACCATTTATTAAATAAGGAATCCTTTCCCCATTGCTTGGTTTTGTCAGGTTTGTTGAAGATCAGATGGCTGTAGATGTGTTGTGTTATTTCTGAGGCCTCTGTTCCGTTTCATTGGTCTGCATATCTATTTTGGTACCAATGCCATGTTGTTTTGGTGACTGTGGCCTTGTAGTATAGTTTGAAGTCAGGTAGCGTGATGCCTCCAGTTTTGTTCTTTTTGCTTAGGACTGTCTTGGCTATTGGGGCTCTTTCTGGTTTCATATGACATTTCAAATAGCTTTTTCTAGCTCGGTGAAGAAAGTCAATGGTAGTTTGATGGGGATAGCATTGAATCTATAAATTACTTTGGGCAGTATGGCCCTTTTCACAATATTGATTCTTCCTATCCATGAGCATGGAATGTTTTTCCATTTGTGTCCTCTCTTATTTCCTTGAGCAGTGGTTTGTAGTTCTCCTTGAAGAGGTCCTTCGTGTCACTTGTAAGTTGGATTCCTAGGTATTTTATTGTCTTTGTAGCAATTTGGAATGGGAGCTCACTCATGATTTGGCTCTCTGTTTGTCTATTATTGGTGTATAGAAATGCTTGTGATTTTTGCACATTTTTGCACATTGATTTTTGTAATCAATGTGTAAATCCTAAGATTTTGCTGAAGTTGCTTATTAGCTTAAGGAGTTTGGGGGCTGAGATGATGCGGTTTTCTAAACATACAATCAAGTCATCTGCAAAGACAGATAATTTGCCTTCCTCTCTTTCTCTTTGAATATGCTTTATCTCTTCCTCTTCACTGATTGCCCTGGCCAGAACTTCCGATACTATGCTGAATAGAAGTGGTGAGAGAGGGTACCCTTGTCTTGTGCCGGTTTTCAAAGGGAATGCTTCCAGCTTTTGCCCATTCACTATGATATTGGCTATGGGTTTGTCACAAATAGCTCTTATTATTTTGAGATATGTTCCATCAGTACCTAGTTTATTGAATGTTTTTAGCATGAAAGGGTGTTGAATTTATTAAAGGCCTTTTCTGCATCTATTGAGATAAACATGTGGCTTTTGTTATTGGTAACCAATATTTTCTAAGGATCCTCCAGACCTAACGTTTGAGAATCTGTGATTCTAGAATTTGGTGATAAGATAAATGCTTGAAGTGTTGCTTTTTATTTTATTGCCACAATTGTCCTGATATTTATTTTGGCACAGAGAGCTCTCAAAAAGTTTTCACAGGTGGAGTGTAGGTAAACTGTTTTGTAAAATTACACAATTAAATTTGAAATACCAAAATTTATTGTCAGACTGTTTTAGCTCAAGATGTAGAAAAGTGGAAAGAGTAGCACCCCCTATTCTTCCAACAACAAAAACCTAGAAAAAGTGCATATGAATGACTTTTATGGAATTCATTAGAGAAGTAAGGTCACAGGGAAAGCAATTGACCCAAAATGTGGGAAGAGACAATTGGTGCAAGTTTCCAATTGTCTTAGAAACAAGTCTTAGGGCAGACACTGTCAGATAACACATAATCCAGTAAGAAGACTCAGCTAAAATTTTTAATAAATTGTTCGAGGCAACAGTGTAGGCTACTAAAGGAGGATGGAGCTCATGAGGACCACAGTCTTCAGGATGTTTTCTCCCATTTGCAGGCTTCTCTTGCATAAATCCTTGAAGGCATGCATGCAGAAGACTAGGGTACATTTAAGAAATCTTCCATGTTACTGGCTGGGGAAAGGTAATAGTAAGCAAGGACAAAATTCCTTTCAGACACTACACTGTCACCTCTCTGAAACAACAAAAGCATTAATCTTCAGGGAAAAAGTAGTAAATACTGACATCTTAGAGACCTTGAAAACCCATCGAAGTTGTGAGAAGGAAATAGGAGGGAAGAGCTGCACCTCAGGGGGTAGAGCATAAATACATGCCTGCCCTAGCCCTGGTGCTGATGAACAGGCTGGAATATTTATGAACGTCACAATTTGTGAGCCAGGTTCACAAGATCTGCCTAACATTTGGACATACTAAGAGTATTGCAGGAAAGCACCTCCCTCAGTCCCACCATTGTAACAACGCTTTGAGTAGAAATTGCCATGGAAGCCAGCTAGCAAAGTGCTGAGAAAGCAGATGCTTCCTGGACCACTGTAGAGGGAAGACACAAGCCCAGGCAGAGATATAGTATATCCAGAAGTCTGAGGGAAACTAGCCCACACTCTAGTATGGACATCAGTGAAACT